TAGTACAAACTGCGTCATTTAAAGTAGCACATGGGAAGTAAATGAATAAGCTATTAACGGTCTCCAATACCTCAAAATATTCTATACCTCACCCTAGCCAGTAGCTAAATTAAGACATTGACAAGGTGGGATGGTCTAGATTGGGACAGTTATTATCAATATTAATTAGATTGCAAGATGCAATTTTCACCCCCATAGCTTTTAGCTGAGTTTGAGATTTTTCTTGTTGTTCAGCCAGATGTCTGACATGCAGACACCCATCACTGTGCTTAGAGTATCCAAACCAGACAGAGTTCCACATGTACATGACACCTATGCATGGAAATATTAGAAGGGTTAGCAGAGGAATTCAGAGGGTAAGTCTTAATCAACAAAGTCATAATCATGCAGATTTATGCATTTGTGCCTTTTTCTTCTACACATCACACCGTTAAAACCTTCCTGTGGTGGAGAGACTTCTTGAAAGTGGACTATATTTTTAATGATGTTATTATTATCACTTATAAGTATGTTTTGAAAACACAGATGGTTTGTGACATTGATGGTCAGCGGTTGGAAACTAGATCTCAGTGGTTGATTAGAAACGGGAGTTTTCTCGCAAATTGCCAAGCTGTAGGAAACGATGGGATTATTATAAAATAAAAAAAATAGTCTGACTGAAAGCCCAACCATAGCACTTCAAATAAATCAAAACAAAAGAACAAGGCAGTGCGTTATCCTCTATAACAAAGAATTCTAGACACCACAATGCTCGCCTACAGCTGGAAATATTTGCAGTCATGCCACAACCTGTACTCGGTGAGTTTCGGAGCCGGTTGTTCCAGCTCTACCATTTCCTCTTTTCAATACTCACTTAAACACCATTTTTAGCGGAGGTGGGAAGAGGGGTCTGACAAAAAAAATCATTGCACAGACTGGGAGGCCTAATGCAACCAGCTGTAGCGCAAAATATGCAGCGTTCCAACCCTTAACCTCGGCTTTGCTGACGAGGAAAGTCCAAACACGTCTCTGCTCAGATTTTGTTTCTGCAGCAACAGGTTAACAACAACTTGCATTTATATAGCACCCCTCACGCAGGGTAGCGTCTCAGACAGTTTAATTTTTTTTAAAAAAACGACCTAATGCAAAACCGTGCAAATTTATACAAGTCTTTGTCAAGACTGAAGTGAAAACACAACTCAAGGTTATACAGCGCCCCATCACACTAGGTAATAGCTTGAAGCACTTTACGAAGGTGATTTTTGTTGAACAGGAGTAGGGCTGGAGTTTTGAGGAAGCTGATCAAAGGCAGAAAAGCGATTTTATTTTAGAAAGGTTTTTTTTAAAAAGGCAAGGAGATAGCGCAGCTGTGAATACTTCCCTCCCCCAGTGGAGAAAAGGAAAAGTAATTGGAGGTGGGCGGGGGGAGAAAAGGGAGGGGAGAGATAAAAAAAAGTTGGAAGATATTTTAGCCAGTGCTCTGATTATATTCCAGGCTTTCATTGTTATTGGGCTGAACACTGCTTGCGAGCTGGGGAATGTACTTTGTAAGCTGAAAAGAATGTGGGAATGTAACTAACACAAGGAAGTTGTTGAAATACAGCATTACTGGCGACACATTTACCTGACAGTACACCAGGATTCCTTGCACCTGCTTCTCTGTGTATTTGTCACATTCTGCCTCCTCCTTTTTCATTACAAGCCGTCAGGTTGCAGGCCTGACCTTTTTCATGGAGGACCACTGCCCTCAAGACAGCTGATTGAAGTTAATTCCGGGCCCAGGCCATTCATCTTTTGGAGTCATTCTTAAATCAACAAGCTGGCTTTCAGAAATCACAGGACACTGATGAATGAGGCCGTTGGCCATTCTCTCATGCTGATAGATAGACTAGTCATGCTGACATTTACTCTCAACCAGGAGGCCAGCTCCTGGCCTTTGGAGAACAAGTCATCCAAACTGAAAACCTGATAAAAACATTAAATATTTACTACATCAAATAAAACAACCTAGCAATTAGTAATCTACGACCGTTGGACTTTGAAAACAACACAAATGATTGTACATGCAACTCTCTACCACTGCAGCCAGTTATCTTTTCTACAGCTGTGTACATATTACACAAGTTGGGTTAAAGAAGCTGTGTCATTTAGTCAAACTAGATTCTTTACAAAATAAGTCATTTCATAGTAGGAGTCCAACTAAAAGCCACTTCTCAAGGTAACCATTTGCAGAATGGCAGAGTGAGGTCCACATTCCCTCCCCTTTGCAAAATGGGTTATATATCATCACTTGTACAATGATACTGTTCCTGATTACTCACACTCACCAAAACGATTTCTCATTAGATTTCAAATCCTTGCGTGCCATAGATGAGCAAGTCAAGAACAATCAAGTCACACAGCTTGGATGTTCACTCAACAATTGGCAGAACAGCTAAAAAAAANTGTTGCAATGCTTGAGTGAGCACAATCCATTCATTTTCCTGGATCTCGTTTCTACCAACATCTTCGAAACACACGACAATTTAATATTTCTAAATTTATTTGTTATGTACAGATAATTCCACAATACCCAGAAATAAACTGCCCTAGTCATGTTTTTCTGCAAATTTGTGTCTCATTCTGTCTGATAATCTCATTAGCGGCTGCTCAGAGGCTGTGTGGGCAGGTCGACAGATTCCAGTGTTTTCCTGCTCCCACTGTAACATGTGGCAGTACACGAAGGGAACAGTACAGGGCAGAATGTGTGTCAGGTATCCAGCCCTGCAGCCACCATTCACAACCTCAGAAAGTATTCCCCGCATTAGCATTTCTATTCATTACAAAGAACAAGTGAAGTGAATGAGCAGAGGCCTTGCAAGTGCAGCAGATGCTCCACAGTGCGCTGGCAGAAAAAGCCCTACTGAGCCAGTGTACTTTAGAGTCACAACATGCTGACGTTTAACCCTATTAGGGTCGGACTCTGTGGTTTCCAATGGAATCAGTCATTCCACATTCATTTTTCCACAGAGGACCGTAAGAGTCAAGACATTGTTAAGAAAGCAACATTACCACATCTGGGAGACAAATGTCCTCAGGGACCAACACCTCAATTTGGGAGCATTACTGTATTCACGTTCCAAGGTATACAGCCGTCTAAAAGTGTCTCCTTTGAGAACATCTCAGCAACAGTAGCAGTGCTCTTTGACGCAGTGTTGACCTTACAGTACAGGAAGGTCGATGAGAAGGCAGTACTAATTCTATCAACAATGAGCTCAAAAGAGTTGGTTTTCACCAGTGTGTTTAGAGGTAGCAGTGCTACGATAACAACGTAAAGAGCAAAGATGCAGGCACCCATGTTACAACCTTTTTTAAAAAAAAACTGACATCCTCAAGCCACAGAGTAGTCTCCATCAGCAAGACAATAAAGTTACGACTCACAAACAATTACAACAGAGTTCTGTTAATTCTGCCCCACAATAGAAATAAGTTATATTTATAAGAAATAGAAATAATAGAAATACGACTGTTTGTGGGACATTGCTGTGCGCAATTGGCTGCCGCGTTCGCCCACAAATATACAGTCAATTCACTGTACAGTGTGTTCTGTGAAGCGCTTTGGGACGTCCTCCTGACGTGAAAAGCGCTATATCAAATGCAAGGATTATTATTATTATTATTATTAAGGGGGGGAAAATTCACTTAATTGGCAGCTGTTTGACTACAATGACCGGTTTCCTGAAACGGTTCTGTAATGTTAACCACAGCACAAGCCACTCATTTTCTGGAACTACAGTTTGTGGGGCAGAAGACTCTTGATTTAGAGGCCAATGAAACTTACTGCCACAAGACTTGCTACCGAAAGGTCTGTGCTAAATTCAATAAATGTTGGAATGGGGATGGGGGAAAGCAACAGATGGGTTCAAAGTTTAGAGGACAGAGCAAATCAGATTAAATTTTGTTAGGAATGCTGAAGTTGGAAACAACATTACTATAATAGGCAATGTGCAATACTTAAAAAAAACCTTTTACAAAAAGGGCAAGAGAGACAGGTTCAATGGCCTCCTGTATGTTTTCTACTGACTGAACTTTACCAAAAGGTTCTAGGAATATACAGACCTTATGTTCAGTAGTTAAAACAGGCTGCTCTGAAATAAATTTATATAAAAACAGCAAGCAAGATTGTAAAGCGCTGGGCAATAAATGCCAATGATTAATACTTTTCCATTTATTTCATTAGATTAGAAGACTCGCAGGGTTATATTTGGAATCGAAAGAAGACTTACAGTAAAGCCTCTGTTACACAGGCAGTTGCCAAGCTATTTATTCACCATTTGCAATTACAGTAATGCCAGTTTGCCCAAACATTTAGATTTGTGTATTACTTGCTAATGTAAGAAATGAAATTAAAGCAAGGCAAACCAATCAAGACATAACCAACATTTTCTTTGCTTCCCGATTGCAGACATGGGATGTAGGATTTGTGCCTCTATACCTCACAAAAGAGGAGAGATCTGCAAGTTAAAAATTAGAATAAAAAACATAATAATCATAATCCTCGCGTTTGATGTATCGCCTTATCATGTATTCAAGACGTCTCAAAGTATTTCACAGAATATCCTGTGAAGTGAATTGACTGTATATTTTTTGTGGGTGAAACACAGCAGCCAATTGCACACAGTAGTTTCCCACAAATAGTCATGGATCAAGTGACCAAATTATTATTATTATGCTTTTTTTTAATAAGGGATTATTATCCCTGGAAAGCATCTGCCAATCGACTAACAACCGGGTTGCTACTAACTGCTTGGTAAACAGAGACGTGTGGAGTAAGGAGACTTGCCTAACTTTTCGTCCTGCTTGGGAATCGAATCCAGGTCCTCTCGCTTGCTCTAACCAATACGTTACAGGACTCCACGATATCATAAAAATATTCGATTTTGCTCATTAAATCAATAAAATAAATGTTACATTTAAGGAAAGAACTGAATCAATACTTCCTAATTTCAGCAAGTGAGATTCAACCCTTCCCCAGAACCTACTGTGTGGTTGCCTCTCTTGGCTGAAGACCTGGATGTCCATGGGAGAATAAATGCTGACAAGTATCTCCCGCTTATTCGCCCCCGTTCTCTTGTTGCAGGCATGGATGGAGCGGGTTTGCCAGTCTGTCCAGTACAAGGTTTCCTCAAACAACGTCAGGGCGAATGGATGAGTCAGGGTACCCTCCACCACCTTTTGCCTGTTAAAGGAACAGAAGAGCAGTTAGCAACAAAACAGGTCAACATTGCCTTCTTATTTAGAACCACATAACAGTCTGAAAGGCAACAATAAAAGAGGCCCCAGTTTGGTGGCATCAACACCATGTGGTTTCTAATATCTGCATCTTATGTTGTTGCACAACATTAGGTTTATGTGCCATGGCCTTTGAACCTTAGCATAGGAGGAAAGGAATTTGTAGTTGGGTTCCACCACGAGTACAATTATAAATACTGAGGCTGCACACCTCAGCTCTACATCACTTAGCACTGTCCATTTTGCAGATGGGAAGAATCAGAGTAAAAAAAAGAATTTCACTCTGATGAAGGCTGGGGGAAAAAAGAGGACCGCTTAAAATAAAATGAATGTGTAAATTTTCTTTGCACAACCATTGGAAAGGAAAACATATTATTTTAATAAAACAAACTTCCAGTACAAATCACTTTAGGTTCAATGAAAAAAAAGCTATAATCCCTCTGGCTATGTTCTGAGAGTATTCCAGATGTTTTCATTTCGCAAACTGGTAATTTTTAAATGCAAAGAGTGGCCCTGAAATGACAAAATGCAAACATTTCTCATGTTGAATATGCCTATACATTGTGGTGTGTTTGGCCTTGGTACAGGAATGAGCAGAGGCACTGCATGATAATACACCTTGTTTCTTCCACAATTTCACAAGATGATCCATGTACACTCACACAAAGAGGAAAAATTGTTTGTATTCTGATTGAGGGATAGATTTTATTTAGCAACTTTTATCTCTTGTTTTATCATCACGAGATGCACCACTAAATTACCATATTCTTATTTACAATTCAACTTAAGGCTTTAAAAATGCTTAAAAGCAATAAATCTCTACATGTGATGGCAATAACCTCATCAGTGAAAGAAACCCACAAGACTGCTCCATATTCTAATGTTCAATGAATAATTTGTTTATTCTAACACGTTAAAATAGAATTTAGATGTGCAGCATTTCTATTAAAAGAAAAGTGTTTAACTCTCAGTCATTGTGGCACAAAATAATAATAATAATCTTTGCATTTGATATTGTGAACATCTCACTGAATTCATGGACACTAAAGAAGCTTCGCAAAAAAAAAAAATCCTTCATTTCACTTTACTCTAACCATTCGCTTCACAGAATTTCAGGCCCATTATGTTGTACAGACTTGCATAAATCATGAAAATTAATTTGAGTGTTCAAAGTGTTCCAACTCCATCCGCTGCATTATTTGTGCTCCTTTAGGAAAATCTGGACCTGCTTTTTAAATGCATTACTTGCACCTTTCCACCATACCTTGGTAGACATTGGAACAATCTTGAAACAAGCTTGGCTTCTACTGTATGCACTGCAATGCTCCTCACACTAAGAGCTGAGAGGATCATATTGACACAAGGCAACAACAGCTGGCAATTTGCCAGAAGTCAACAAAACAAGGCTTCAAGTTTTAGCTTCCATCAAGTCAAACTATTTAATGGTAAATTGTTTAAGAATCATAAGCCATTACTTAGGCTATTTCCCCCAATCCCTCCCCCCAAATTAAAACAACTTTATTAACTAATCTGAGTCACCAGTACAAAGTTCCCTCTTGCTGAAAAACACCAATGAAACTTGAGGTCCTCATACAAAGTTTCACAGCGCTTATTTTCACCTCACACCCCCCCACCCCTCTCTCCAATATCCCCTGGAAAAAGTTTGGCGAATGCTACATAATTGGAAAACAAAGGGACATATCACTTGCATTGATGGAACATACAAGTTTGTGAGGTTGTTTTTAGGGAGCTTTGGTTAAATATGCACTAAAGACTTTAAAGTTTTCAGCGGAGGTGGGAAAAACAATTGCCATTTAAGGAAGGTTTAAAAGAGAGTTTAAACCTTGCGGCAACCTGAAGTAGTTAGAGATAAGTGTATTAAATAACACATAAAATATTCTTTTTTCACATTTGTTCCATGAAGGTTTAAGTAAAGAAGTGATCCTCAAATCACCAACAGCGCTGACATCAACAACTTAGCCAGGGCAAGGTAAGAAACTGCAGCTGTGCTGGTCCTGCACACTTGCTGCTTGACCCAGTTCCTTGACTGAGTGACAAATGCCATCATCAGTCTAATATTACTCTTCCTGATCTGGAGGCAGCACAATGAAAAACATATCCGTAGCGAGTGGGGGAGTTTTAAGACTAATACTGCATCTTGATTTCAAAGTGAGCTTCTAAATTACACCATGTTAGTGTCCATACAGCAATATTGTAATCTGCATTTTGTTCTATGGTTGCTCAGAAAGTATCTGCGTCTTTGGGACATCCTCCTGACATGAAAATGCTACATAACTGAACTGTAATGGGTCATATCCTTCATTTCCCTCTCAGATCTCACCCAAAGGACCTCACTGTGGATGTTTGCTTGCTATTTAGCACGCCATTTGTTGATAGTAAAAACACCGCAGAAGGCCAAAATTCACCTAGTCTTAGCCTCGGGGACTTATGCAGAAGTTTTAATACCTTAGTCCAAAACGATTTTAAAGTCTGAATTTTTAGGGTCGATTCCACCGAAAATGTTATTTTGTATAGAATTTAAGACCATGCAGATTTGTAGAATAATAAACATGGAAGGAAAGTGAGAATTTAATTTCGAGTTTCCAAGTTATAAAGTCCTTAATCTGGAGCACAACAATGTATTGCATCGCTAAAGATAATCTCAAAAGGCAACCAAATCAACATGATTTTTCTGTAATAATGTGATTTTTAACTTCAAATCTCCTTTCATCTTTATAGCTGATCTTTTGCTTTTAAGAACCGACTACGAACATTCAGGCTTGAAAATTACTTTTGCCTAAGGTATCAAAACGTCTGAGGATAAATCCCTATAGTTCTTTCTTAAAAACACATGGAAGCAATTTATGTAAGTGTATCAATACATCGGTTACAACTAATCATTTTAATAACTAGGTCTTTAAATATGGGTAATGCTGTTTGCAGTTGTGTGCCTCAGTTATAAGTTTTAAAGAAGGGTTTGTGATTGTGAGTTGGACCATCCATTCTAAAATTGCTCTAATCCAAGGCCAAGTCCAGGTACAAGCTTTGCACATACACAAGTGATTGCAATTGTAAATCTACTCTAACTGGTGCTGAATGCAGATTAATTTTTTAACATTGACAAAGTCCCGACTTCCCCTCCTCGTCCCCCCACTGCCCCCCACCCCGACCCCCAAGCAGTCCAATTGACTGGAAAAGAACACATCAACTTTTGTTTAAAGTTTAAAAAGTTGGCTCCATATCAGCTGCAGCCAAACCAGAATTACACAGTTGCCAGACGCCCCAACTCCCATTAAAAACACTTTCCTGGAGAGTAGCTTCTGCCCGCTCCAAATCGATACCAAATCAAACACTCTGCCAATCAAAACGTAGTTTAGGTACTACATGTTTGGTGGTGGTTTCACATGGATCCTGAACTGTACTGATGCTAACTGTACAAAGGAGGCATTGCCTACCTGCTGTACAAAATAAATCAATGCCTGCACAATCTTAGCACAGTCGGATTCAAGATTGTGGAAGCACATGAAAACATGCCCATTGCACATTCCACAGAATGTTATCTCTTTTACTTTAAAAGGAATACACGGATAGATATCAGAACTGAGGACATTTTAATCTTTGAAACACGACTGGTCAGTGTCATTTCTTTTAGTTATTCGTTCTCCATCCAGTTAGATAATTCCACATCTGTTTTCTTCCAAACCATTCTTTTACAGATTTTTTATTCCAATGCTTCTAAAACACAGCTTTCGACAAAGCTTTCAAAGGCACTGGCAGTGTGGTAGAGACAATGAAACTCTCTCCCCTCCTCTAGTTTGTTTGACCCCTATGACAACAATAAAGCTAGGTGGTTAGAAGATTGGTATGTGTCACAGTTCACAACATGCCTGCCAACTTTTTAAAAAAATATAGGGGGAGAAAGAAAGAGCTTTAACGCTCCGCTGCAAGATGATGCTTCCTCAAGAGAAAGCAGACAGACCCTCCCCCGCTCACTTCAGATCATTTTCCAGGGTGAGTCAGGTGAAAACTGAAGCCAGCAACTCAATTAGGGGTCAAATCCCACAGAACAAACCACGCCGGGCCTGAATGCAAAGAGTGCAGTAATTAGCATTTTTTTAAAAAAATGCTAATAGCACAATGACTGGGCGAGAAAAGGGTTTATATAAAGTCAAAGGCTTAGCAAGGGAGACTTGACAAGTTACTTCTGAATAAGAGATTGTTTACTTTTTCTTTGCAAAGTACCGTCAGCTGAGATGAAATCGAACAGAAGAAAAAAAATATAAAAACGAATTGATCAAACATGCCAATTAAAACGTATTCACATTTTCTTCTCAAGCAGCAAGTAAATTTCATTCTGTAAGAGTTATGTTATGTGTACTAATTAAAATTAAGTTGAAATGGACTCATTCAAATGTGCATTGCAAAGAGGATTCTGCCCTAAGACATCAACAACAACTTGCATTTATACAGAACCCCCACACACAGTAGCATCCCAGAGCGCTTAGCCTCTGAGAGCTCATCAATCTCCTTGTGGCACAGTCTAACGAAATGGGTATAGAAAGTTAGGCAGTGATGAGCTTCACTACCATAACGACAATGTTTTAACAGGTAGAAAGATTCATTTTCCCATGGAATACTTCTGTCATCTGAAGTGACAAAAGGTACAAGTGACAATTTTGCAAAAAGCTACGAAATAGTTACCTGAATGAACCGTCCAAGTTTGATCGATGAATAAAGCTCAACTTTGCATCAGCCCAGTAAAGTTTCTGCTCCTCTATATCAATCGTCAGCCCATTTGGCCAGTAAATATTAGAGTTCACAGTGACCGAGCGACTGCTGGCGTCCATGCCAGCTCGTTCAATTCTTGGTATTTCACCCCAATCCGTCCAATACATGTATCTGTAAAATAATGCAGAAAGGAAATGATGAAATAAAACGTGTTAACAGCCGTGGCTCTTACTTTCGTAATGTACACACTTCTTATCGCTCTCTCTCCGAAACTCTTTTGTCCCTTAATAGTGTCCTGCAGTGTAGACCAGGGCTCTTCATCCAGGTTCTCGATTTTAAAATTACATGCAGCGCAGAAGACGTAAAAATTCCAACCGTGCAGTTTGGACTCTACGCTCACTTCACATGAATGATAGGAGCTGTAGCTCTCAAATAAGCCTTAGTTAGCAATTAATTTATTTCGCCTCTACATTTTATTCCACAGGAATTTACAATAAAGGGTTAAGCAAATCGCTTGCTCATATACCAGCTGTGTTAATACAGACTTCAACCATCTGCATGGAAATTTTCAAAATCACTAAGTTTAGAGCAATTATAATAATCCTTACATTTCGGTATAGATTCTTTCACGTCAGGAGGACATCCCAAAGCGCCTCGCAGGACATAATATAAGTGTTTTGACACTGTTCAGGTGAATGGCATATTCGAAAAGAGAAGGGAATTTCTCCCAGTATCCTAGCAACAAGCCCCAGTCAGTTGACTGGACTTAATCGTAACCTTAAAAGTACCAAACTGGTCCCCGGAAGGCAAGACCTTCTCAGGCTTCAGTGAATATCATACCATAATCAAGCCCCAGTAGGTGTAAGACAGTGACAGTGGGTTTACTCATTTTCTGACATGCAATTTGGAAAAATGGCTTATCTTCGCTTGATGACTGTCTTCTCTCCTCTTACTCCCTCCAATGAAACTAGGCGGAGAATAAAAATCATGTAAACTCATATCCCACTAACTCCACGGTGCATCCGGCAAATGGTTTACAGCATTTGACTGCTTTATTCCCGATTTGTTACATGGGCCATTGAGAGACTGCCAAGCAGTGTAGCACAGTGGCATCAATACTAATATCTTGCAATGGAATGAGATTACTTCCAGATTTCACTATTAGCACCACACGCAATTCCCATACATAAGGAACCACTCTGGTGTCATTTAACCAAAGTCATATGGGAAAAATCAAATAATTCTGACATATAAAAGAATAAATACAGAGCGGATTAGCTAGGTACTGTTCAGATATTCACTTGAATGAAGCAAGATAAACAAAAGACTAAAATGCTGCACAAACGATTCCAAAGAGTATTCAGTTGTTGTACGCAACTTTCCAAATTTTCCAACCCAGGGTGCAACCCTCGAAAACAGAGCAAGAACAACTTGCATTGGTATAGAAGCTTATCACGTTGAACAATGAGAAAGGTGGGAAGAGAGTTGGCCATAGGTGCTTTCAAAGAGGTTTTGAGGTAGGAGTTAAGGACTGAAAGAGAGGGGGCGGAATTCCAGAGGTTTGGGCCCGAGGAACTCATAGCTCGGTTATCAAACAGTAGTGCGGACAGGATGGGAGATACTCAGTAAGCCTGTTAGCGAGTAGAAGGGTGGGTGAGAGGAACCATGGAATCAATGGATTTATCAATAAAATGTGTTTGCTGCCATCCCCTCCATAAATCAGGCATTTTGAATTGACCAATTTCTATGGAAATCATTTTTTTCTACTAAGACAAGAACAGACCCATAACTTAGTATTGCAGCACCAGATTCTCCCTTAACCCCTCTGAACTGAATTTCATGTGGAAACATGCACAGGACACTTGATTTAATTTTCACCATGTAATATGCCAAGATGAATCAATTTGTGCCTCAGACACAAACGTGGAGAAAATACGGCAAATTAACTAATTTTAGTGATAACACCTTCAATGTTTCCACTGTCACCATTCAGACAGTTGTCTTAAGAGTTTTATGTCAGGCAGGTGTTTATTGCTTGTCTGCACTCCATAACTGAAGTTAAGTGAATTTTAGAAATTAGTTATTTAGAAAAACTACAGAACTGTAACTTTAAAATAAGGGGACAATCTAAACCTTTCCTCCAATTGCAAGGATCATGTCTCACATTATCACTTTGTTTTATTTTATTTGCAATTCACTTGAGCACTCACTTTTAAATCACGTATTTTCAATGTTGTTAAAGTGTAAATATTTTGCCAGTTTACAAACCTATCAAAATTGGATACATGGATGTTGATAAACTCACTTGAACCTTTAGATGAACAAATAACCAAATGGTTTCCTAAATTACCACAAACAAACAAATTACCCATGTTGTACATTACAGCACTATTTTGTCTTCCTTTGCACAATTAAAAATGACCAATGAAGCTTTCAAATTAAAATGCTGCAATAAGTGGTTTTGAAATACAAGGGGCGAACAACAAATTTAAATGTTTTGGATCAATTTTCAAACAACTTGATGCAAACATGAAGGAAAAGGGAATGGAGGGGTATATGAGAGGGGATTAGGAAGGTGGAGGTTTATGTGGGATATAAACCCAGCATAGAATAGTTGGACCAAAAGTCCTGTTTTTGTGCTGTTGCTTTCCATGTAATTCTATGCAAATTACGACCAGGCAGAAATGTGATCAACAAGCAAGGAATTCATTGAAGCCCTTATTGAACCGACTTCTTGAACTTTCAATCCATTGAACGCCGAGATCAAGGACTGTGGTAATACAATAAATCAAAATTGCAAAGATATTCTAATGTTGCAGGTTCTATATAAGAGGAACCTGCGAAAGAAAGGGTACGTTTACACTGTAGGACATTTCATATTCATAGTGATCTCAGGAGATACAACATGTGCTTTTCGGTTCAACCCCTAGACTGAGTGGGTTTTTTCAGAGTCAGGGAATTTCCAATATTTAACCACACGTACGAGCCCATAAGCATCAAACAGACATTTTTAAATCAAAAATATTACATCACTCTTTTCTACAAACAATTCCAATGCACAAACCTGAAAGGGCGAAACTCAACTAATTAAATCAGTAATTATGGTATTATTAATTTTGTGCCCCGACTCAGCAAAATTAAGGGCAGGGGAAGTGGTGGGTGGGGGAAAACTCATTTTTTCTCTTCATTATGATTTGGAACAAGGCCTCAGAACTATTGAAGACCGTATGAAACACATACACAACCAAGCAAAATTTACAAGCTAGTAGAACCACAACACAGAATCATCAGTACAGCTTAGCCTAAAGTCATCACATGTCAAAGCTAAAGGAAATCTGGCTTAACTTAGATTGACCCAGAGAGCAATCAAAGCACAGAGAGAAGTGTCTTGTGCTGACATGACTACTCAAGATCAGCCAAATAAATGACAAGTATCACTTATGCCGCTCCATTGGCCCATTTGTACCACAACAGTAGCCACAGTGGTAGTTCATGGAAAGTATATTTAACAGATGCAGACAATTAAGCGGACAGATTTGGGATCTGGGTTTCTGAGACCCTAAGGCAGTTGGGGACCCAAGAACAATTTCTGTGAATGTGTGAAGCAGACAAAGGAAGAATCATTTTTAACAGAATGGGATAATTACCCACTAAAAATCAAACTTGGCACTTCTGGCAAATCACCACAAATGGTTAAATACACATATGCAATAACCTGAAAAATACACAAAAAAATTGAGAATAAAAACTGTGATCTGTAGACCACAGTCTAAGTCAGCTTAAGTCTCTCCCTCACATTTTGCCTCTCAGAATCATTAGTTTTAGGGAGTTTAGAGCTTACGAAGAGGTTCAAGGCTTAGTGATGCATCTATACCTTTGGGTCTTGCAAATCATCAAGCTGTAAAGTTATTGCAAATGTAAATCTATATTTTGCATGTGAATTATCAAAACGAAAAAATACCTGAAGCATATTCTATTCTTGTACATCAGTGACCACTTCCACTTGAAAAGCAAGGGGAAGAGCCCAACCACGACCTACGCGGTCAACACATCGCTACTGAAGAATAAAGCATCGCCAAGTTTGCGGTCTTCTGCCAAACTACATTTAGGAACAGATCAACAGTAATATGGGCTATAATAATGTTCTACATCTAAAGTGCCACAAAGACAGATGAAGTCAATTTACTGCCGGTTAATGCAACAGGTGAAAAGTTCTTTCTTTACAATTTTCAGAAAATTCTGCACAATGGCAAAAATTACAGCCCATGCATGCCTGGCTACTTTAATATGCAAAGAGATTACCTTACAGGTAATCGTACTGCACTTCAATCAACCAGGTGTTAACGAAACTTGGCCAGCACTTGAATGGGGACTGGAATGGGGTTAGTCATCTTTTTCCTCTTTACAGATTTGCAATTTCCAACTGCCCCTCACCAGCTGCTCCCATCCTGGTAATGAAACTGACATCAAGATACTTTGGAGTGCCCCGAGCTTAAAAATGGCTCAGCAAATGTTAATTAATTTTTTAAAAAGTACTTATAAATAATTTGACATATGTGTTAACTTAAAACATTACTATTGGACAGTTAGATGAGACTTTAAATGGGGGGGAAGCTAGTGACATTTAGCTAACATGGGTCATTGGCTGACAGAAATAACATGCTGCAAACATTTTTAAAAATTGCCTTATTGTCTAAAAACTGAAATTCTGACCCAATGTCAATAAATTAAAAAGTTTAGTCCATTGGAGAAAGGGATGATAAGCATTGCTCTTTGAAATAAAGATTGCCTTTAGCGAAGTTAAGTCTACAAAATCTATCAATATAAAAAAAGAGTGACTTGTAAAAGGTTAATTTTATATTTGAATTACCCTCAGTGACAAAATGCAAGGGGGAAAGAATGCAGAGTCAGGATAGGAGAACAAATGTTACGGTGTCTCAACTTGCTGGAATACTGCAGTCTAGTCAAACGGTACAAGAAATGGTTTTCACTGGGGGCAGTTTGTTGCAGACTTTATATAAAAAGAACCAGACAAAATCCATATGGTGCACCACAAATGTACACAGAAACAATCCTGAGGGAACAATCAGCGATTCTCAGGCACAAAACAATATAATGGAAGCATTCTAGAGAGTATATGACTGCAGGATTTTTGCATTAAAAGGAATCTCAGTCATCATGAATGGGCCATTTGTGGAACCCCAAGGCCATTCTAACTATAAACTGATCACTCAATCACCCAATGCACACCTGATTTTCTGAGGCCAACTCTGGACATGTCCATTTATTCTCAGTTGTGATTTTGTCCTTCTGAGAAATCTCCCTTCAAACCTTTGTTTTGTTTTATTAAAAAAAATGTCATGAATGTGGAATAGGAAATTGAACCAGAGTTCAGTTTAAATGCATAATTTCATTCCATTCATTATAATTTCCTCTGCTGGTACACTGAACGCCAATCTGTCATTGTGTGTCAGCCTGGCTCAGTTGGTAGCGGTTTTACCTCCTGGTCAAAAAGTTGTGGGTTTAAACCCCATGTCAGGACTTTAAAGTCACATAGTCTAAACTGACACTCCAATGGCAGTACATGTAATGGGGCAGCACTGGATTGTCGGAGGTGCAATCATCAGAAGAGATGTTAAACTGAGCTCCCAACGTTAAAAATCCCACTGTTTAGAAAGAGTTTCTCTCGGTGTCCTGGACAATCTCCCAGATAAAATTGGTCATTCACTTCATGGCTATGTGCAAACTGGCTGCCTCAATCACCTACAAAAGATCCAGCTAATCCAAATCAAATAGGAGCAAAAATTGATGAATGAACGATTCAGTAACAATTCAAAATTAAAGTTCAACTAACATACACATTGTTTATGAAGGTTTGGACCCCATCACTAAATCGTTTAGTGAATTTAAATTATAGTATAGAACTCTTAAAAGCATGAAAGTTATATATAGTAACAAGAAATAACTCCGTTGTACAGCTAGTCCACTCTATTTTAATAAAAAAGGGCTGCCTGCCAGGTATGATTTTCCCATAGTTAGTGCGTATGGCGAAAAACAAAAAACTGCCAAGGCCCAGAGACAGAAGAGAACCCGAATTCTGAACTATATATATATATATATAGAAAATATAAATAAATTGGTCACTCAATCCATGACTGTTTGTGGGACACTGATGTGTGCAATTGGCTGCCACATTTCGCCCACAAAAGATACAGTCAATTCACCTTATAGTGTATCCTGTGAAGAGCTTTGAGACGTCTCGAAGACATAATCAGGCGCTATATCAAATGCAAGAATTATTATTAAATTACAATAAATCTCAGAAAGAAAGATGCCTCTGCATATACAGCAGACACCTTTTGCAAATGAATGAATGGCTTTTTGAACCAATTTAGAAAAAAAAGTCACCATAAAAACAGGTTAAAATTTAAAACTACCAAATGACTGAAAGGATTTGGAGAGAGAGTATTGATAGCCATGACAGTAAGTTACTATAGTGCAATGTGAGGAGGGTGCTGAAACCAAGAAAGTTAACGTTAACAAGTGGAAGGGGAGAAAATAATTTGTTCATTTTTTCTCCCACATTAGCTTCAATTTAATTGCTACTGAAGGCTGGTATTGTTCAATTGCATGCCACGGCATTTCTGGTTAAGTCTAAACATCTGTTCAGTTGCACAGGAGGGAAATAATACCTTTGAAAGGTTGGAGCAGCAGGGCACAGATATTATACTTCCACGCCAAAAAATGTTGAAATCATAATGCACTCAGCTCCCATAATGAAAAAGCAAAAACAACAAGATTAAGATTATATTTTCCATGCTTACCCGCGCTCTGGATCAAGAGCAATGGCTCTCGGCTGATCGAGATCCTGCCAGAAGAGGACTTTTCTAAACGTTCCATCCAGATTGGCAACCTCAATCCGGTTGGTTTCAGAGTCTGTCCAGTAAAGTTTCTTGCCTAACCAATCGCACGCTAATCCATCTGGTGAAACGAGGCCAGAGATGATCACATTCTGCACGTTCCCAGTGAGGTTCACACGCGTCTGTTTAATGGCCTCTTCGCTCACATCAGTCCAATAGATCATTCCGTCTGCATACATAAAATCAACTGCGGCAGCATCCTCCAGGCCATTGACTACCACCGTAGACTCCGGTCTCGCAGCGCCTGCATCCACCAACCTGACGTCCCGCCGATTTGCAAACAGGAGCAAAGGAGATCCTAGGGCAAAACAGGATAATGAAATTAGTTCCACCAACTTGATCTGTTCATTTTGCAAGTCACTTTCTTTCTTACAAAGCCACACGCGCAGATCCAGGCACCTGTGGCTTAGAGGTTGTATCAAGAGGTGCGTAAAACACATCCCTCTCCATGACTCACCTTCACCTTTGCTAAGCAATTGCTGACATAATCTCACAGGTCAGAAAATGTCTTCGTGTCACTCCTACTTTGCTGTGTATATTGTCAAATCCTGGCATCCAAAACAGTCTTTACAAATCAAATAAATAGTTCAATTCTAGGCATCAACAAAAACAACTAGAAGAATGTTTCTCATCTTTTCCCTAAAATTTACAATTGACACATTTAATGACACATTATACATAGATACATCATGGATACTTAATTTTGCATAAAAAAGACTGGAACTATTATTCCAGGAACTACTGTAATGGCAGAGTGCCCACAATTAGAATGCCAATATGATCTTAATCTGTGAACATCAGTTTCCTCTATAAAACACTATTTTTTTTTGTCATATTTTTGTCTCCATTTTTTAAAAATATAAACACGCACCTCTTCTTTCTTCTGAGAAGTTTCATGGTGGAATAAAACATATCCTTTCATCTAATACAGGACACCTTCTAAAGTGTTTCACAATATTTACTGTTAAAGTGTAGTGACTTTATTTTGCAGCGAAATGGATGGCAGTGATAGTGCTTCCGGGAAGCATTTTATCTCAGGTGGGATTCTCCTTTAATGCCACAAAGTAGTTTCCTCTCTCACGCCAAACATTTATTTTCCCTCCTCAAAAATTGTGAACACTCAAAATGTTTCATACCTCTCCCATATCTACAAAGGCACTTCCATTACCTCCCTCTTCATTCTTGGACAGGATACAGAAAAGACTAGATAGTTCCCTCACTTCTAGCCTTCCTGTCTATCACAACAATTCCTGGTTTTTCCCTGTTTTATCAATAATGTTACGGTTAAAGTTCCTTTGAAATGCCTTCAAGCTTCTCCCAACCCTGAAATGCATTGTGCTACACGCTCTCCCTCAGCGCTGCATTATCAATGTCCTAAAAACATTAGGTTTACGATTCCAATTCAATCGTCATGAAGATCTCAAGGCTGTGGAAGCCTTACCTTCTCAATCTGCCTTTCCTGTTACAAGCTGCACACAGTAAACCTACCACCCAGTCTTGGAAACCAGGAAGGTTTAAGCTGCTGAAACAAATACAGTTCACGCAGTTCTTGCAAGATCCTCATGAGGAAAAACAATCTCAGGAAAAAAAGATACCCAGTGGGGAAGGAGAAGTATTTTGAGGTTAAATATTTCACAAACTAAGAATTCTGCATCTATGATGGAGACCGTGTTTTATTTTGTTTTCAAACAAAACAACTCATGTTGCAACCTGCTGGAGTGGGTTTGTTTCAAATGAGCCATCAGTCACAAAGGAAGACATAACCCTGTAAAAACACACTGAAATAATGTATTCAGTTTCATAGCTGTTGCATATTTTAATCCTTCGCACTCGCCTGGTAATGCTTCAGTCTTTGGGCAAAACTTAAAATGCATTAAAGATGATGAATACTGATGAGCAATGACAGTCTTCACAACAGAATATGGTTAAAATGACTGCTTTCTAAAAAAGAACATCAACAGCGTGCAACTACTTCAACATAATGAACTGGAGTCCATATTAAACCAAAACAGAATGGCTACAAATCCACAAATCAATGAGTGTGCAACAGGGATTTTTTAAAAAGTTAATGTTTCAGCCACAAACTCAATGAAAGCTCATGCCCAAAACATTTACCCGTCCCCTCTCTTCCCCTCCCTCCCCCTGCCCAAACCGATAGAAAACCTAGAAATCCACAAATCTGTTTTTTTTTAGATTTTCAGTTTTTTTTATTTATACTAATTTGGGTCCATAATACATTTGAGATGATAAACCTCAACAGTTTAGGAAGTCACTGAAATTCCTCAGTTAGATTACAGTCTTGTACTTATTCTCCAGTATCTCTTCAGTTTAAAACAGAAATAAAATTCAAAAGTTGCATTCAGAATAATGTCACATCTTGCAACTGAACTAAGTGACACAAAGCAGCAGAAACCACGACTGTAAAGATCAACGGATTACAGTTTCAAATGAAGTGAAACTAGTTGCAGGGAAAGAAAAAGCAGAAACATTCTTGAACAGCAGTTAAGTGCAGCAACTTGAATATCAAATCTCATTAAAAATGCTGAACTGCAGCCATTTCTGTATTACACTCAATCCACTGTGCCAAGCATATTCAGCAATTTTCGATGGGGTGGGGGGGGGGGGAAATAAACTAGGGTTTTCTGATCCACCTCCCAATGGGAAACTCAAAGTTTACAAAAATTACTTTATTTTAGGACTATACTTTGATATTTTACATGTAAACATTTTCTGACATTAACACTGATCCGCATCCTTCTGCAGTCAGTATTTATTCCTTCTTAGTTGACCGAGACCTATTATGTATTTCCTAACTATTTATTTTTTCCCCCATTACTCTCTCTTCTGTTCCCACCACCGCCGCCTTTTCAACTCCAAAAGCAGTCGATTCCTTGTTCCTTGCTGAGATAGAGTTTCATAGGCATCGTTGTCCTCGTGTATACTTTGACAGTGGGACTATCACAGATTGTGTCCTCACCAGCAACCCATAATTCCTCCCAGTCTTAGCTTTTACAACCAGATTGCCTTAAAATTTCAGATTGTACAGAGCTATGGAAAATTCTTTCATCTTGATGTGTTCGGTGCTGTTTATTAAAATTACTTTATCAGTCGTATGTCCATGATGGGACTTCACACTTAACTTTGGTTCCTCGTTTAATTTCCTACGAGCTATTTTCTACTTGTAGGGGACACGTTGAATTTTTTGACCAAATACACCACTATCCAAGTTATTAAACGGTTCTTACGCACCTCTGTAGCCCAGGAACAGATATAAAATTGTATCTACGTACCAGTGCCTATCAAAGCACGATTCCACTCTTACTATAATTGGCTAGTTCCCTATCAAAGCACTCAGCAGCACCTTGTACTCCTTCCTCCTTGTATCTAATTTCAGCAATGAACACGCTGGAACATTCAGCAAGCCACATTAAAAGTTTATAAAATTAAATGGTTCAGTTCATACCACTCCAGGAGTGCAAGTTTCATCTTGTGTAGTCTTCTGTAATACTTTAGCTAAATGTGTAGATTAACAATTAGCAGTCACACAAAAATGATATCCCTGGAAAGAACCTTCATCTTATATTTACCAGTATGTACCTCTACAGAAATGTATTTCAACGTACTGTTTGGTTACCAAAGAATTCAGAGCTCCTAAAAAAAAAAAATTTTCAGCAAGTATTCAAAACAGCTCAAGGTAAATTAGTTTTCAGCATGGTCATATTTCCTTTGTTCCTTTCTCCAATGCTGTTCGGCTGCGTTCACACAATACTCCGTGGCTGTTTGTGGGACATTGCTATGTGCAATTTGGCAGCCACATTCGCCTACAAAATACAGACACTATACTATCCAGCAAAACCCTGTGAAGTGCTTTGAGATGAAAGGTGCAAAATCAAATAAAAGGAAGATTTTATTATTATGAATTGACGAGTGAAATATTTTTAAAAGCCAAGATTAAAATAGATAATTGATTGGGAAATAGTTGTATGACCAAGGGGGGGTTTCTAGTGTGTAACAACCATAGTTCTGGAATGGTCAATCCAAGTGCTGATACCGCACATTAATAGCTTTATGAAGATAGTCCATCCAAAGGTTAACATTTTAAACTTGTCAAGAAACTCTTTAGGCCATTGAGGTACTGTTCTTTCCTTTCCTGGAAAGAGAAGCAAGAGTTTTCATTCGTTCCAAATAAGATGCAATTTTCAAATTTTCTCTTTTCGAATAGTGCCATGGGACCTTTAACGCCTCATCCAGAGGATATGCAATTACTCGTGTTGATTTTCCAAACTGTACCCTATCACACAGAGAAAACTTCAGGCAATTCTTTGTATTTTTTTCATTTTGGCGCTGCTCACAGTCTCTTAAGACTGCTCATTGCCTTCCTAACCCAAACTTCACTTTGAGAAGTTCAATTTATGATATCTGGACTGTCCCCAAAGCTTTTTTTTTGGGGGGGAGGTTACTTAATTCTCTCTCCCTGTTCCCTCAGACATAGATCTTTCTCTTGCATTTAGAGTCTTATTTTTCAGCCTTATTTTTTTTCCCTCCTCATCTGGCATCCACACTGTTTTTTCTCCTCGAGCCAGACAGACAATCCCTACATAGCCTCTCAGTCAGTCGACTACTAGCCAACCTCATCTGCAACACGGTACTATGTAATTTTCTTGTTTTTTTTTCTACTCTCCCAACTGACTCGACTTTTTGGAATTTCCTTGCATAATTTGTTTCCTCAGACAGCTATCAAGACTCCCAAGTCTGAAGATACAGAACCGTACAAGCACACCCCTAAGTGAACCAGCAAGAGATGCCATGACACCTGGCAAGTGCAGCAACTTGCAAAGCATTGTTCAAAACCCCCCAAAAATTTATTTTTGTTAAAAAAACTACCATCTGAAACAAGAAATATTATATTCCCTGTTGGAAAAAATTTAATTTCTGAAAATAAGCTTCCAAATAACATCCCACTAAGAACATTATCAACATGTTTGCATAACTGTTACTGCCAATACTCATATGTTATTGATCATGAGTAGTAATGCATCTAAAAAATAGACAGAATTCATTCACAGGCTGCTTTAGTTAAACAATTATTAGCCTGATAAATGATGGATGAGATATTAAACGTGAACTGATAAACCAAAAGCACAATCGGGATTTCTGCAAGGCAAAGATACTCTTCCACCCGACCAGGATGCACTAACTGGTCAGAAAACATAATGTACAAGTGAAGGAGCGCTCAAACCAAACCTTGATCAAATACAAACTTCCCTATCATCACAGGCAACAAAAAGATGAAATCAA